ATGAACTTGTAAATTTTACTAGAATTGTACTAGAATTTGAATACTAGAATTTGAAAATTAAACAGAATATGAAAAAAAGAACGAAAAAAAAAAAACATACTATTTTGAAGGTATGGTAATTTACGCCGAATAATGCCTTGTTTTCGTTGAAAATTTCTCAATCGATGCTTATAATCGATCCGTGTTGGTAATAATGATTGTGATTTAATTGGTACAGTTGGTGGTGACATTAATAATGATGGTGCTATTGTCGCAGTTTTTGATGAATGTCGTAACGGAAAACGAGATGTTGAAAAAATTGATACAGTAGCTTTTGATTCATTAATAGCATTTATACCTGAGTTAATTGTTACACCTGGTCCTATTGCTCCTAAAAAATATTGTGTTATTTAATTTTGTATAAGGATGAAATGCTAATTTATTATTAAAATTTTTGAAAATTATATTTAATCATTCTTTTTTTTTTTTTTTTTTTAAATTGAATCATATAGAAATATCGAAGAACTTTGTGTTCGTGTAATTGCATCGATGACAACTCGTACACCAGCCCATGTTTCTCGACCGGTTGGTATTAATTGTCGACGATCCAAGAGAAATCCATCAAAATCTAAATTACATCATCATTAATTATTCATTCTTTTTTTTTCCATTTTTTTTTTTAAAAATTTAATTTTCGTTTTTCAGCATTTATTTTAAAAAAAATTTATTGTGATTTATTGCGAAAAAAAAAAATTTATTTGTGAATTTATTATGATTTATTATAATCATTTAATTCTAAATAAATTTCAATTTTATTTCAACAAAAACTTTTTATTGTTTAAATTTTAACAATCACTTAGATTGTAATTTTATCATAACAATATTGAAATATTAACAAACAAACAAACTAACCATTTTCACCTGGCCTTAGTTCAAGTAAATATACAAATTTTACTCCAGCTTTTGATTTAGCCCAATCATCTGAGCCACCAGATGAAGGATCTAAAAATTTAATTCATTCCTTTTTTTTTTTTTTCAAATTTTTTGGATTAATAAAAATATCATTGAATTATTCGTTATTTAGCAAATAACGAATAGAATTAGAAATTTTAGTGAATTTAATAAAAAATCATTAAAATAAATTAAATTTTAAAAAAAAGTGAAAAAATTGAAGCTAAAATAAGAAAAAAAAAGACATACATAATATATCAGCTCCGGTACCAAGTCGGAATTTTGTTCCGTAAACATTTTCCAATGCTTTCACTGCTTCTTTTCCAACTTCCGCCTATATGGAATAATTTTTGTGGAAAAATTTTCAATTTTTTTTTTT